ATTACATGGTTAATTATTATAGATTTGAAACAATATTTGTATTGTGTAAATTAGCAAACAAGTATATTCATGAAAAAGAAGAATTTAAAAATGCAAAAAATTGAAGTAAATAAAAGTTAATAGAAAGTAACAGAAGTTAGATAAATATTAATGTTTAAGTAATTATTATTATATTTTATTCATTATTATAATTATATAATTACAAATTTAAAAATTAATTTACAATTATTAAATTGTATGAATTAAATAATTATGATAACTAACAAAATATAAAACAAGGTAAATAAAACTAAAACAAAATATAATAATAATAATAATAATAATAATAATAATAATAATAATAATAATAATAATAATAATCAATATGTAAAAAAAAAGTTTTTAAAAAGTAATAAAAAAAAGTTTAAGTAATTTTTAAAAGAGAAGTGGAGAATAATTAAAAATACTTGCAAATAAAATAAAATATTTTACAAATTAAAAGTAAAGAAATAGATAAAATAATAAAAGTATAAAAAAATAAGGAAAGATTAAAAAGAAGTTTTTACGAATTGAAGTAAATAAAACTGAAATAGAGATAATTAACATAAAAAAACGTATAAGGAAAAAAGTAATTAAATAAAAAAGCGAATAAAAAGGACAACAACAAAAACAATGAAAAAAAGCCTTAAGAAATATAATTTAATTTACACTTTACAGTCTACAATGTTTGATAGATTTTAATTTCATGTTCTCCACTTCCCGAGTATTTTCCTTTAACCTTTTTTATTTTAGCACACTAATTATACACTTGAAGTTTTGTTTTAATTATTCCTGTACAATTTTAATTACTAAATATTAATAACATTAATAAAATGAAATATTTACGAAATTTATATACTGAAAATAATTTACATGAATATTAAATTCAAAAATGTTTTATTAATTTTTTGTTATTTATTTAGAAATATACTGGTCATATATTTAATAACAAAGTAGCTGTATAGTTATAATTAATGTAGTTTTCGAAAAATAATTTAATTATGTAACTAAAATTAAAATTCATAATGAATAAATAACGTTAGTTCAGTTTTCCATCTAAATTGAAATTTAATTTGAAAAAAACTGTAAATTATAATAATTAAATAATATAAATAAAAAAAATTAATTAGTTAGCAAGAAATCCTGTTAAAAATTGGAAATTTCGTTTCATTTTTTTTTTTTTTTTTGGCGGGAAAAAAAAGTGAGAAGTGTGTGGGAAAAATATAAATGATAATAAAGCAATGCAAATAACAAAAGAGAAAACAACGCAATTTGTTGCTTCCGTCGAATGTAAATTTTTGGTTATATTAAAATTCAAGAGCTTGGAAAATGTGATAAATGCAAATTCATCCCAATGAAATTCAATGTAATGAAATTATAGTTACTGAATAATTAATTAATAACTAGACCGCGTCGTTTTCGAGAAATATTCATTGAATTTCTATTTTTGATGGAAAATTAATTTATTATTAATGTTATATTACATTCTCTTTTAAATAAATTTAATTTTACTATTAATTTTTTATATTATTTATTCTTCACGGTTCAATTTTTATTCTATTAAAGCTTTATTACAATTTTCGGATAATATTTTTATTCTTTTTTTACTTTTTATATTTTTCATACAATTTTTTTCCTTTTATTATTTTTTTTCATATTTTTATTAATTTAATTTTTTTATTCTTATTTTTTATTTTAATATTATTTTCCTTATTTGCCTTATTTTTTCTAAATAATATTTTCTTCATTCATTTTCTTGTAAAAATGATTAAATTTATCTTTTTCAAATCACAGTCCCTTAATCGTAAGAATTATTAATTATAATTAGTCGCTATTAATTTTTATATTTCAAGTAATAGAAAAACATTTACTACACAGTAAAATGTAATTTATTTCGATGAAAAAACTATGGTGAATAAAGTTAAGAAAAAAATTACTTTCATCTAAAATTGCAACTAAAGAAGTAATTTTCCAATAGAATGGACATTGTATAGCCGCCCCTCGCTCCTTTTTCCCCCTTTTGTATTATATTTATATTAAAATCCACCAATACTAATTACGACGCGTTAGTATGCGGCTGGAAATTCAAAATATGTCTCGTTATTATTCCGCTTTTGGATCAATTTCGAGAGAGTCTATTGTAGAGCAGCCGAACAGAGAATTCCCACAGGAGTGATTCGTTTAAAGCGGAAAAGCTTCTCTTCTCTATTGTCATATCAGCATATATATGTATAAACATACATAGAGAATTTCGTTTCAATTTTCCCTGGGATCATATCGACCCTTTTAACTATATATATATATATTCTAAATAAATACATATTTTATTTAAAACTAATTTTCAACGCAACTAAAGGAAATTAAATATTGGAAAATACATATAAAACAGGAACAACAATAATGACAATGCACATCGTGGAAAAGAGAAACAAAAATTTTTTATGTATTAAAAAAAATGTTGTGTAGAAAAATATTTGGAACCCAAATATTTTTTATGTATATAAAATATTTTGCGTAAAAAAATATTTTTTTCTATACAAAAGAAATTTTTTGTAAAAAAAAACAGTTTTTTTATGCATAAAAGATAAATTTTGTCTAAAAAAATATTGTTTTATGTGTATAAAAAAATATATGTTTTGTGTATATAAAAAAATATGTTTTTTGTATATAAAAAAAAATGAATGAAAGAAAAAGAAAAATGCAAAAATCGAAATTTTTTTCTCAATGGAAATTTGTTAGAGAGTATAATAAATAATATAAATTCCCGGATTACCTCGCATTAATCTCTTTAGTTTGCCGATACAAGAGCAAATTTGTGTATTATTATGGAAAACAGTTGAATACCACGAGGCTTTATATTGATTGCATTTAAATAACGATGTATAAATAAATACATGTATCAAAATTTTTCAAATTTAACTAAAAATGAAATAATTTTTTTTATAATAAAAATAATTCCTCTTTTTTGGAGTTAAAAATAAACGTGTATATTATTAAATTAATTAATTTATTATTGTTTAATTTTATTAAAATTTATTTTATTTATATAGGCCCGAAAAAGTTAATAAACTTTAGTTTCTTATTAACTTCAACTTTTTATTAAAATGAATTTTTACTTCGTGTTCTGTTAATTTTTTTTTAACAAGAATTGTCTTTATTTTAAGAAAATTATTTTAATTTTCTTTCAGTTTTCTTTGTTCAATTTTCAAGTAGAAAATTTTTATTTTAGTTTTGAAAAGAAAGTTTCTGAATTTTCTGTATTTATTTTATTATTATTTTATTTTTTTTTGCCTAGGAGAGAAAAAGAGAGGGAGTGAGTGAAGAATTTTAATTAAAAGCTCTTGATTGGCAAAAATCAATCGTTACAGCATTATTACCTCTTTTCTCTCTTGTTATATTCAGAGAAGCTAACAAGCTTTTGATCGTTGTAGTTTCGAAAGTCGTAAGTGTTCAACAAGCTCTTATGCCTTGCACTTGTTCAAACTTTGACAAGCTTGAATCCATAAGGCAACTTTAGTCGCAGCTTGAAGGCGCTTTAATTCATTAATTAATCTCCGTTGACATGAACTACTAGTCGACATTAATCATCGTTGTTGATTGACATAAATTATTTCCGAAATTTTCACTTTTCCAAAAATTGAAATATTTTCAAACTTTTCAAATTCAAATCAACTCTGATGAATATAATTTAGACTATGTATTCAAAACAACTTCGATAAATGATTTTAATAATTAAAATAAAAAAATTACGAAAATTATTTTTCCTTATTAATATTTTAGTAAAAAAGTTATTTAATTGTTATTTTATGATAAATTTTGTAATAAACAGAAACAATTTCATATTATTAATTACAATTTCTTCGCAATTATTTCACGTTCTTTTATTTTTAAATTAACAAATAATAGTTTTTAAAGTTAATAAATAAATAAGTGAATATATATATATAAATAAATGAGTGAATAAAAAAATAAACAAATAAGTGAATAAATAAATAAATGGATAAATAAATAATTAAATAAATAAATAAATAAATAAATAAAACTGAAAAACTGAAGAGAAATAAAATAATTAAAACTGCAATAAAAATAAATACTTGATAAATATAATTTTATTTAAGTTGAAACGAAGTAATAAAAAAGAAATCGAGAGAAAAGAGGGAAGAGAGAAAAAAAAATAAAATGAACATTTGGTTAAGCGACTTCTTTTTACTCTTAAAAGTCTAGATGATGAAATTAAAAGGACGTTGTTTGAAAGACTCTTTCTCTCTCTTCCCCCCCCCCACTCTATCTCTCTTTATTTCTCTCGTGAATTCAATGCGTTGTGAAAAAAAATATATATATATTTGTGACTCGGTTGATGAAGTTGAAGAAATCGCAAAGAAGCCCATTCTTTCCATCAATGGTTTGTAACGGTAATTTCATTTGAAAACTTTTTCGAAGCCGATGCACCATCATCAGTTCCTATACCCCCCCCCTTCCCCCTTTCCCCCACTTTCGTCCTGTGCCAGTTTCTCGCGCCAAACTCTCGTAATTAGTTTAGTTTGCCAGTAACTCTTTGCGCTACAAAAATAACGCAACTAATTTCCAAGATTCGTTTCACTGCAATGAAAAAAAAGAAGAAGAAGAAGAAGAAAAAGACAAACATAAAAAAAAGTAACGGAGTAGAGGAAGAAAAAAATAGAAAACTTGATACATCCAATGTATATATACACGGGGGAAAAAATGAAAAAGTTTGAAAAAAAATGTTCGGAACTATTTTATTTTTTTTTTCAAACGCGAAAAGAAAAATTAGACTTTTCATGATTTTTTTTATTTTGATCTTATTTATATATTATTTTTGTTTAATTTCAGTTTAATTTCCTTTTAATTGTTAAGTATTTTATAATTTTAATTTGTTACAGAATAATTTTTAGTGAAATAGTAAATATTTAGTAAATATCTATGATAATTGAATTAATAAATAAATTATATTTTTGTTACAGGTGAGTTTCCATATATGGATCAAAGAAATTACAATTTTTATAATCGATGAAACGAATTTCCCTTAATGGTGAGTCGAATATTTATTTACAGTAAATTTTACTTAAATCAATCAATTTTTCATTCCTTGGAATTTTCATTAATTCTGAATTTTTATTTTTCTGAAAAACGTTGTAGAATTGAATTTTCACTTTACGAAAAAGATTTTCTATGGAATTTTTAATTTGCTACAAAACTATTTAATTTAATTTTTATTTTGCTAAACAAATATTCTACGGTATTTTTATTTTGCTTATTTTGCTTTTTTATTTGCTTTCTTTTTTAAAACAAATTCTATAAAATTTGTATTTTATTAAAAAAGTATTCTTTGTAATTTTTAGTTTCCTAAAAAAAATATTTAGTAGAAATTTTATTTTACTGAAAAAATATTCTATGGAATTTTCATTTTTCTAAAAAAGTATTCTATTTAATTTTTAATTTGCTTAAAAAATATTTAACAGAATTTTTATTTTGCTGAAGAATATATTCTCTAGGGAATTTCTATTTTGATGAAAAAAGTATTCTGCAAAAAAATATTAAAAGAAAATTTTCATTTTTCGAAGAAATTTTTCTATGTAGGATCTAATTTTCTAAAAAAAAATTCAATCTTACATTTAATTTTTATTTTAAAAAATATTTTACGGACTTTTTATTTTGCTAAAAAAATTGTCTACAAAATTTTTATTTTACTAACAAAGAATTCTGATTTCTAATTTGCTCAAAAAAGATACAATGAAATTTTTGTTTTGCAAAAAAAAATATTCAATAGAATTTTCATTTTGCTATAAGAAATTTCCTATGTAATTTTTACTTTGCTAAAAGAAAATATTCAAAGGAATATTAAATTTTTAGTTAAGAAAATATTCTACGAAATTTTTATTTTTCTAAAAAAAATACTCAATGGAGTTTTTATTTTGCCGAAAAAAATTTCCTAAAGAATTTTTGTTTTCACAAAAAAATTCTATGCAGAATTCTATTGCAGAAAATTTTCATTGATTAGAATTTTAAATTTAACCAAAAACATACTTAGCTGACTTTTTATTAACTTCAATATTTATTAAGAATCTATTAATTATTAAAAAATTCCAAAAAATTTATATTAATTCGAATTTTTATTTTGCACAAAAAAATATCTTGGAAAATTTTTATTTCGAATTTTCGTCAAATTTCGTCAATAAATATTAATTAATTCGAATTTTTATTTTGCCCGAAAACATCTTTATTATTATTATTACATTTTTTATTATTATTTTCATTATTTTTTATTAATATTAGTTCTACTGGATGAATTATCATTATTATAATCATCACGAATAATATATCTGACGGTTTTACAAACCATTTAATGAATGGAAATGGAAGTAATGAAAAGAGGTATGCGAGTATTTTTTTATTTTGATTCTTTTTCCTGAAAATCCGAACGTTTGAAATTCCGTGACAAATTGCATTGGCATTACACGTGACTCTTTAATCTCTCGTCGGTTTTCGGAGCATGTCGGTGACATTCCAACTCGCGCGCGCATTTAGTTTTTTTTTATAGATAGGCGACCAATTTTTCGGCAACATGAATTTTTTGTTGTTGTTGTTGTTGTTGTTGTTGTTGTTTTTCATTTGAAAGTAACGTGTATTTTTAAAGACAAATATTTAGAAAAAAATTCAAATAAAATTTTTTTTCTTTTTTCGTAAGCTTTGTATTCATTAGGAACGGACTCTTTCTCTCGTCTCTACCTCTTAATCTAAACAAATTGACTTTTATCCCCTTGTATTATTATCCGATGAAACTATATATATACACGTGCCACACTTTAATGAGAAAAACTTGCTTCTTGTTAAAAGACCAGCAGTACTTGCCACCATACACGAAACAAGCTTCAGTTAAAATTGCAATACTTAGAAAGGTGACAAAACTTTTCATCGTTTGTTCTCTTTTTTGGTTTCTTTTTTTTTCTTTTGTTGTCGTTTTCTTGTTTTTTCTGTTGTTACTTGTTTTTATTTATTGTTTTGATATTTTTTCTGGTTTTTAATTTTTTTCTTTGTTTTGATGTTTTTTTGTTTTCACTATTTCAGTGCTTTTTTTGTACCCTTTCGCTTTTTTATTTTCTAAAAATATTATTTATCTTTGTTTTGTTGTTTTAGTCTTTATTGTTTCGCCTTTTTTTCATTATTTTATAGTTTCGTTGTCATTGTTTGACGCATTTTTTTATTGTTTAACTGCTTTTTTTATCATTTTTGATTCTAAATTAATTTTGTTTTATAAATCAAGTAGTAAATATCGATTATAGTCGGAAATTTTATTGAGTTTTTACAATGAAAATAATGAAGTAATTCAATAATAATTGAATAAACTTGGAATATGAGAAAAAGATAGTTGTAAATTTATAAATAAACAGGTAGGAAAGGTAATGCTTCGTCAGACGAGAATTAAAATGTATATGTTTTAATAACCAAAAAGAATTAATTATTCTAGTTAGAGACAATATTATCATTATCGAACAAACAGACAGAAAGAGATTTGAATAATGTAAACGTAAAAAAATACTTTGTGACAATATTGTTGGATAGTAAATTTATGAATATTTTTTGTAGAATAAGTCAATTATAGTTAATTGAAAAAAAATCCAATAAGGAAAAATATAAATAATGCAGTAGATGTAAAAATAAAAGTAAAAATCATTTAGTAAATATATAATTAAAAGTATAAGAAATCTGGTAAATAAATAAGAAGTACAAATTAATGAATAAAAGTATAAATAACTTTAGGAATTACATAAATGAAAGTATAAATAATTTAACAAATACATAAATAAAACTATAAATAATTTAGCAAATGCATAAATAAAACTATAAATAATTTAGCAAATGCATAAATAAAACTATAAATAATGTAGTAAATGAATTTACAATACTATTGACAATAAATATTGTCACAGAGTTACGCGAATAATTCATGTAAATATTGACTTAAAGCGATTAAAGTATCTCAAGAATTTATATCTACTCCGGAAAATGGTCGTTTACGAGTTACATTCACAATTTATTCGATAAGTAGTACAGGTCAACTGCAGTCAGACGTCCATACATTATTCAAAACCAAGAAATATCGTTTTTCCCCCTTTTGCGAAATAATCTCATTTTTTTCGTTTTCATTCAAGAACTAAGACAATTTTTAATTTTGTTCCTTTTTTTCTTAAATTTGTCTAAAAAAATAATTTCTCTTTAAACTAAAATATTTTTTACAAGTAGTGACAGTAATTTTTAATTTGCAATTTCTCTTTTCAAAGAAATTTTTTACAGTAGAAATAATAAATTACAGACATACAATTTTGGAAAAAATTTATCGATTTTCAGTAGTACAAGTCAATGATTAGTCAATAACTAAGTGGTAATTGATTTATTTTTCACTTTTTATATGTGGTATCTGTTTACAATTGTCGCAGACAGTTGAGAAACGGTTTTTATCATTTTTCAGTAGTATGAGTCAATTACTGTCAGACAATCGTAAAATGATTTCATTTCTTTTGAGCACAAATAGAAAATGGTTGTCAAACATGCAGGAAAATGAATTTATTACTTTAAGTAGAGTAAGGTCATCACTGTCATACAATTTAAATTATTTTTTAAAATCTCCCTCTAATTTTTTTTTATAAAAATTTTTTTTTCTGGGTGAAAGTTTTATATATGAAAATCAAATTCAGTCAACTACTAAGTAATATAAAGTAGTAAATGTAATTTTTAAACCGAAAATTATTCTCTCAATAAATGTATTAAACATAACTAAAATTTGAAAAAAAAAAGTTTTGAAATAAGTAGTAAAAATCATTTTTAGTCAGACTGTCGCATTTTATTCAATTTCTTCATAAGTAGAATAAGTCAATAGGAGTGTCTGACATTTAGAAAATCATTTTTCTTAAATTATTCGAAACTAATAAAGAAAGTTTTGAATTAAGTAGTAAAAATCATTTTTAGTCAGACTGGTGTATTATTATTCAATTGCTTTATGAGTAGAATAAGTCAATAGGAGTCAGACATTTAGAAAATTATTTTTCTTACATTATTTTTCATAACTATTAAAGAAAGTTTTGAATTAAGTAGTAAAAATAATTTTTAGTCAGACTGACGTATTATATTCAATTGCTTAATGAAAATTCGACAAAATAAAATCTTTTGAAAGCAAAAATTCGAAGTAAGTATAAAAATAAAAATTCCCAGTATTAAAAATTTGAAACTACTACGTGTCTTCGCTCTTAACTTCATTGGAAAGATTTAAGTTACCAAAATCTTGAGAGAGTGAGTATTTCTCTCTCGTTCTCACGACATTCGTCGCCACACCTTCTCATGCATATGCGCTGGTTTCACTTTACGACCAGTGCTTATGGTGTATATAGTATAGTTTATTGTTTCCAAGGCATATTCCTACACACGCGTACTATTAATTTTAGCAGTAGGTTGGTTCTGGTTAATATTGCGCGGTCGAAATATAATACACATCTTCGCAAAATGATAACATCCTCGTGGAAGCAGACTGTCCGATGTAAATCACATCCCCCCTCCCCTTTCCCTTATCCTACAATATATAGATATAGCTTATTCGCATTATACAACTTAATAATGCATTTCTCGATCGATGCGACAAAACTACTTTATATTTGTCTTTAGGGAGAAAAAAAATACTTTAATTAAATATTAAGTTTTAAAAGAGAAAATTTTACTTAGTAATTTTAACCCCTTGTTTTTTTTAAATAGAGGGTAAAATATGAACCTCTATTTAAAACAAAACTACTTTATATTTACTTTTAGAAAAAAAAAATATTTTCATTTAATTTTACTAATAAATAGTCATTTCTGTTAATTTTTTTTTACTTTTTAGTTTTACTAATTGAAATTTAGAGAGTAGTTAAAATATTTGTCGAAAAAGAAATTCAACAATAATTTTTCGAGAATTAGTTTCAATTTTCAAATGATTTGAAATAGTTTTATTGTTTTTATTAATGGGGGATTAAAAATAAAATTACACAAATGGCTTTTCCCAAT